GGGCCATAAAAAGGAGAAGGCAATAAAGTGTAAATGTGGTAAACCAAGATATAATTGTGAAAGTGTATACTTATAGTTACAGAGGAAAATAACAGAAGAAAGAGCCCAGAGTTCACACTGGTGGCATCTGGGAATGCAACCGGCTGGGCAGGGGTAGAGAAAAGAAGGCTGCTTCTCCAAAACTTTCCAGCAGCAGCTAAATATTTTAAAACATGAGTATGTGTTCCTTTATCCAAAATGAGAAATTTTAAAGAATTTAAATTATTTATATCACATTGCAATCTGTTAACATTTCTTCACTTTTAAGTATACTGGGAGCCTCAAAAGACAATAGTACCCTGCTCCTCTCAACCTCTGAGCTATGGTTTGTAGGCACAAGGGGTCTTCCTATGGCTCTTCCACACCAGCTTCCCCCAGATAAAAGGGAGTACTGTGTACTCTTCCTGTCATGGGGTGACTTGATCTAGGTTGGGTCCTGAGCCCTAGGATGGAGAGGGTAAAGGCTCTACAGACCCCAAGTTGGCTGGGGACATCAGCAGGTGCCCTTCCCTGAGGGATATAGCTGAGTCTCGAGGGCTTCCCCTGGCCCTGTCTCAGATGCTGCTACAGTTCCTGTTAACAAGGCCCCAGGGACCTGGCGGGGTGCCCTGCTGCACCCCAGGTCCCTAGAGGCTGCACATCCACCCCATCAGATGTCTCAACTCTGGGTCCAGAAGGACACTGGCACTCCCTGCCAGGTGGGGTACTGCTCCCCAACCCCACTCCTCAGGAGTGCTCCTGGCTGCCCATTCAAGGGCTCCTGATTCCAGGGCCATTGTAGGTCCCATATACCCCAGCCAGGCCCCAAAGCAGCTCTTACCACAGCAGGACCTGAAGCATATGTGGCACCTTGCCCTAGGCCCAGTTGGAAGAACTCATTACTCTCCTCAGCCTATAGCTGTTTAATTGCTGGAATGAAAAGGTTCCCCATGAAACCCTACATCCAGCCATTTCCACCAAGAGAATGGAGACTCCTCAACCCAGCAGCCTCTGCTGCAGTCAAAGCTGGAGTTTAGGGGTGGGGACTCCCTGGCAGCAGAGGTCCCTGCCTCTGCTCAGGAGCACACAGGCATGCATGCCAGAGTGCACAGGAACCATAAGCAAACACTCCTACATACTTCCACTTCCACACACATGGCACTGTGCACCCCTACATGCACAAGCACATGCTTGCCCAGCTGCCCTCTGGCTCTGCAGGAGTCTTCACGTATAACACATGTTCCCTACCAGCATATTTGCACTGAACACCCCTCACTTCCATGGGCACCAGGAGAACATTTTACAAACTCCTTTTAACACTGTCAGAATCCTTTTCAAGTGAAATCTTAAAAGTATACAGCAAATGTATAGACTAAGGCTGGGTGCTAGAGGGAAAGATGCAGGCCCTGGAGCATGCATGGGGCTTGAGTGCTCAGCCACCAGGCTCCCTCCCGTGGCCCCTCTTTTCCCAGCCCGAGGTAAGACAGCTGCAGTCTGGTTGCATCATAGCTTCTGAGCTCTGCCAGCAGACACTGGATGTAGGGGCAGGCATGTCTGAGATCTCTTAAGGGAGAGAGGCAAAGTGCTTGTTCCTCTCCTTGGGGCTATGGGCAGCTGTGCTAGTGCTGCTGACTCTCCCTATCCCTTCTGTTTCCATGCAGCCTTTCCCTCTCATCCCAAGGCACATTGATTTTTGGTTTCTGGGGTTTGTGGCTCCTTCTCCTGAGCTCCTTAGCTCACCAGCTGTGGTGATGCCCACACCCAGAACTGCACACTTTAGGGAGTATGAGGGGCCACTGGACTCCCTGAGGTCCTGGACACAACCAATACCATTAGGAGGACCGTGTCTGAGAGTCAGAGGCCACCCCACAACCCCTTCTCAAGCTGCCTCTGGGTCAGGAAGAAAGGCGACAGCAGAAAAGAAGGAGGCCTGCACCAGAGGCAGCCCCAGGAAGAAAAATATTTCCCTGAGCCCACAATTGGGTCCCTTCAGATCCCTGTTGCCAGGAGAAGAATCCAGCTCCTTGGTCCTCGCTGTACATGTGCCCTCCCACAGGGAGCTGTGAGGCTCGTTGCCTGTTCCTCACCCTCAGGGAACACCAAGGCCTCGTGACTCCAGAACCAGGGCTGAGCCCAACTGGCTGTGCCAATCTCAGGGCTGTGCCAGGCCGGGAGGAACTGGCCCATCCACTGACTACAGCTATCTGTCCCCTCTAACCTGGCAGGGCACTGAGCAACCATAGTATCACCAGATGCAAGCCAGCCCTCTTCACACCAGCACCTCCTACCTGCCCACCACTCCCAGAAGAGCACCCCAGGCAGAGCTACGGCTGTGAACCTGCTCTGCAGGCTGCCATGCCATCACCCTCTGTGGCCAGCTGGCACTGCCAAGCCTGCTCCCAGGAGGCCTCTGAAGGACTTTCTTGGAGTGAAGCAAAGGAAGCTATGCCAAGCAAAGACCAAACCCAGGGCAATTCTGCTGCCAAGTGCTTGAGGAAAGCCTGGCTGTTGTCTATGGTGGCTGCTGCCAGGAGGAGGAGTGGTCAGGGACCCCCAACAAGGAGGCCAAGGGTCTTCAGGTACTTCCTCATGAACTTGGGTAACCACTTCCAGACCTGTCCTTAGCAGAAAACAGCCTGGTACCAAGGACAAGCAGTGTACATTTGGATGCAAGTGTCACTCTGGGCCAGACCTGGACACAGGGTACAGCCAGGAGCTCCTGGAGCCAGGCTAACTGGCATGCCCCTAGCGGCACCCCTGAGGGAAAGAGAGAACTGGCTGGTCCCTCTGTGCATGAACTGTGGTTAACCCAGTCAGTGCCCTACACTGCCTGGCCTGGATCAAAGGCAAGACAGGTAGTATCCATTTTAAGGATACATGAACTCACCAGGGCAGAAACAGAGCAAACGGCATGTGGTCTCTGACAGCCTGAGGAGAGGAAGAGGAATACTCAAAGAGGCTAGCCACGTTTGCCGTTTGCCGGTAGCAGCTCTGCTCCCCAGGCCAGCTGACCCAGCAAGATGGCTGCTGACTTCAAGACTGTCAACAGGGAGGCCTTGGTCCAGGGCATTCTGTCCTTCCAGTTTGCAGGAAAGGGACCACTCACACCCCTCATGCAAATGAGTGGGACTAAGGTAGTCTAGACAGAGTTCAGTCCCTAGGCTTCCCTAGGCTCCTGCTCAACAATCCTTGGACCTTCAGGAAGTTCCTCTCACACCACACTTAAATCCCTCCAGTTGTAATCTTTGCCAGAAGCTTGTCTTCTTTTCCTCTCAGGGGAAGAAAGTGGAGAACAGTCAGAGGAGACTGGACCAACTGGACCATCTGTGTCTTAGCAACCTTCACCCCATAATCTCCTCTCCACATTTACCTCCATTTACCTCCTCCCTAGAACCAAGTCAGTCCTCTCTCTCTCTCTCTCTCTCTCTCTCTCTCTCTCTCTCTCTCTCTCTCTCTCTCTCTGTGTGTGTGTGTGTGAATTGAACCCAGGGCTTCCAACTGAACTACATCCCCAGCCCTATTTATTTATTTTGAAACACACTCTCACTAAGTTGCTATGTTTCGCTGTGTTGCTTGCACTAGGCTCAAATTTGCAATCCTCCCACCTCAGTCTCCCAGAGTTTTGGAACTCTAGGCATATGCCACCACTTTCAGCTATCCAAGCCTCTATGAGGGCAGGTGCTGTTGCCTTGTTTACTATTCTTTATTCTTCCAGGCCTCTTTTGGCTGCAGAACACTTCTGTTATAATAGATAAATGACCTGGGCTGAGAGGCAATTTGGAGAGTACTGGTGTAAGCAGAGGTAGAAAGAAGTATACACATAGACCAGCCCAGAAGTTTGTGGGCCCACGTCACCCCACTATTTACTGAGAATGCTACACAGAGCTGGATGTCATGCTGACCTGGGGGCATAGTGGGGAGCTTAGGAGGCATAGCCTGACCTTCCCATGCTCACAGTCTACCTGCAGCTTTTCTCTTGGTAATCAGGCTCCTCACACTGAACTTCTGTGACTTATAAAGTAACCTTCACATGAGCTATCTGCACAGAGGAAAGCCCTCAGCTAGCCACTCCCGGCCCATACACCGGGGTCTGAGATGCAGATTAAGGCTGGAAGTCTCCATCTGAGGCAACCCAGGGCAGGTTGGACTCAGCTCTGGCCACTGCTTCTGGGTGCCAAAGGCAGAATTGAAGATTATCTGTGACCTGTGCCTGCTTTTGTTCTAAAGAATGGACATGAAGTCCCATTTTCCCTCTTCTTGGATCCACTGCCCAGCCCATAGCTGGGTGGCCCACACGGCCTTACTGACTAGCAAGAACCAGGAAGCTCGTTCCCTCCCGTCTGTCCTGTGGCTTCCTGAGCACGGAGAAGCCAGGCCCCAGCACCAGAGGGCAGGAGAGCGCCTTTCAGCACCTGGACAAGGCCCTTCTGGGCCTCCCAGGAGGGTCCCTCTCCACTCGCATTCCCGACCCGGGCTGGGCTCCCAGGGGTCCTGGACTCGGTCTAGTCAGAGAGAACCGAGAAAGCGTTCACAAGGGAGGAAGAGGTCACTGGGTGGGGCTGGGATGCCTGGAAGTGTCACACAGCTGACTCCCCGATCCTGACCAGCGGCCCCCTCTCCACTCAAGGCTTTTCCACCTCCGCACATTCACGCGGAGGTGTCACGGCTCCATCCAACCGGGCGGCCTCTCCCACCACAAGGAACACAGACCGAGCGGTGCCCCTCCCCACAGCCCTCTCTGCGCGACTGAGGCGGGGAGGGGCGCGGCATCCCCCACCCCAGGTTTCAGAGGCAGCCCGTCCAGCAGGAAGGGAGCGGGCGAGGGCCGCTCCCATCACCCTCTGCACAAAAGCGTTGGCTGCAAACAAAGAAGCGCTGCCAACTCGCCCGGGAGGCGGGACAGCTGCCGCCGCGTCCCCTCCTCACGTTGCACGGGCGTGCCGGGCCGTGGGGTCCCCGCCGCACCCCGACGGCGCTCCTACCTGGCCGGCGCGGACCTCCTTCTCCAGCTCGCGGTGGCGGTTGTGCCACACGAGGTAGTGCAGCGGGTACTTGCCCTCCGGCCCCTTCCTGGCGGAGGCGTTGGCGGGGATCATCGCCCGCTCCTCATGCCGGGGCCGCGGCGCCCGGCCCTGGAGG